GGAGGACATCGTGATCACTGAAAAGGGAATCGAAGCTGCTATTGATCGTCTTTCTAGCAGCTCTGCTCCTGGTCCAGATGGTATTTGTCCTAAACTGCTAAAGTTAACTAAACCTGTTATTTCTCCCATTTTTGCATGCCTTTTCCAGCAATCGATTCAGTCAGGATGCGTTCCTGACGGATGGAAAGTTTCTAAAATAGTACCAATTTTTAAATCCGGAGACCCGTCATCTGTCACCAACTACAGACCAATCTCGCTGACCAGTATACCATGTAAATTATTAGAGCATATCATATCATCGGCAATCATGAAGTACCTAACAAAGCACAACCATCTTTTCAGCAACCAGCACGGCTTTCAACAGGGTCGCTCCTGCGAGACGCAGTTATTCGAGCTGGTCTCTGACATTTACGAAGCTGTTAATGACTCATCGCAAATAGATGCCATATTTATCGACTTCGCCAAGGCGTTCGATAAGGTAGCTCATAACCGTTTATTACAAAAACTTCGCTATTTTAATATACATAGTCAGGTTGTGAATTGGATAAGGAATTTCTTAACCGACAGGTACCAATTTGTAACTGCCAATGAATTTTCTTCCTCACGATCACTGGTCAAGTCAGGGGTGCCTCAGGGCTCTGTATTGGGGCCTATTTTATTCCTGTTGTATGTAAATGACATCAGCAATAGCATTTCATCTACAGTTCGATTATTCGCAGATGACTGCGTAATTTATAGACGAATAACTACCACCTCTGATAGTGACGCTTTGCAATCTGACCTTGCGAAAATTGCAGATTGGTGTGAACAGTGGCAAATGGAGATAAATACTTCGAAAACTAAGGCTGTAGCCTTCACTAGAGTGTCTAATCCTAAGCTTACTCATTATTTGATAAATGACTCAGTCATCGCGCGTGCGCATACAATAAAATACTTGGGAGTTCATTTATCTTCTAACATTTCATGGAGTGACCACATCGAAGCAATCTGTAGCAGTGCATGCAAAACTCTTGGTTTTATCAGGCGTAACCTTTATTTGGCAAACAAGTCTACTAAATTATTGGCCTATGCGACGTTGGTTCGCGCAAAACTAGAATATGCATCTTTTATTTGGAACCCGCACCAGTCTTATCTCATCAACAAACTCGAAGCAATTCAAAATAAAGCAACCCGCTTCATTACCAAAGATTATTCACGAACATCAAGCATAACTAACCTAAAAAAATCTCTGAATCTAAGCACCCTAGAGAATAGAAGAATCATAGCACTTCTATCTCATTTCCACAAACTTTATCACTCATCATCATCGTTCCGCGTACGCCACATCACGGCCGCCCATCGTATCTTTCCGCGCCTGGATCATCCCTTTAAAGTACAACCCGTTTTTGCTCGAACAAACTTCTTAAGTAAATCCCCCCTCTTTCTCGCAATATATCACTGGAACAAGCTACCTGCCGACGTCGTTTCTTCCCAAAATCATGAAGATTTCATGAATAAACTTAAAAGTTATTTTAATGAAAGTTAATATTGTTCTTGTGCATATCTGTTTTGTTGTACTTGTTGTCGTAGTTCTTGTACGCGGTATTTCAATGAACGTGAATTATCCTTTCTTTGCATCCTTTTGTTGTTTTGAACACTGCGAAAATTTTCCTTAGAGTTTTGTTGTCCTGTTCTTTTCTTTTTTTTTTTTGTTTCTTTTTTAGTAGTACTTTCTTTATTCCTCCACGTAGCATCTCTGTACTGTTAAGTAATAATATCTCTACATATGTATGTGCATATTTATATCAATCGTTTGTATTTGTTATTCAAATTATACACTGTAATTGTAACAGCTTTATTGTGCTACAACTCCCCTATGTAATGCCTACCCAGGCCTTTAGGGTACTTGAATAAAAAAAAAAAAAAAAAAAAAAAACGCCTCGTGCTCTCCGCTGCCTAACGGCTGGCAGCCCGAGCGAATCAAACTGGGTGACAGCGCATCCATCCCGCGTTCGCCCCGTAGTAGATGGCATATTCGGCGTCTCGGGGTGCGTCCAATGCGAACAACGCTGCGTTTCGGTAGCAGGGGAATTTCGGTCGCTATAGAAAGCAGATGTTTCAGTGTGAACTAGGCCTAAGTGGCAGATATGAATAGCTTGCGGTTTGAACGTTGAAGTGGCCACCTCGCGGTGGCTCAGTGGTTAAGGCCTCGCATTAATGACGCGGAATTCCCACGTTCGAGTCGTTTTTCAGGAATTTTTTTTTCTTTCTTGCGTTTTCAGATGTATAGATACGTATACATATACGGTGCATGACGCTGACGTCGACGCCGATGCCCACGCCGATGCTGGCGGTGAAATACAGCCGAGAGTGTGTATATAATTGCTATCCCAATAAAACAAATAACAGTCAGAGCCTTCACATCGCTGTAAAGAGGTAAGCCAGTGAAACTGCGCTGCAGGCAGTCGCGGATGCACGTCGTTGTCACGCCCTTTTGCATTTCTGTGCGCGATGGCACTCCTTTCAGTTGCCCCTCTTACCCACGCGTTTTGAAACAAGCTTCGAGTCAAACCCCACCTTTCACTTGGCCGAGCTAAGGTCCCTAGATGAAACAAGTTTCCAAGGTAGCGACACCCTCCCTTTTCCTCCTCGCTTATTTACCTGAAGCGCCCCCTAGAAGTTTTAAAACTTTCATCCAAAAGCGAATGTTTGGGTTCTGTTGCTACGGTGAATAGATGTAAATGAAACAAAATGGAATGAAATAAGACGTAGAATAAACAGTTACCTTTATGAACATAAACGGCGCAACACAAGAGCAAGCGGGATGTGCGTTACTCAACCGGCAACGTTGGGCAGTTCTATACTTTACACCATTAGCCCTGGCGTCTCGCGTAGTACATTTTAGTTCCACGGCCGCGGTATTTCGTCCAGTTCTAACTAGCCACTTCTCCGATTGTGTTTTGTTCGTGCTGTGACACAGTGGACGTGCCTCTTGCTGGATCCTGTAAGTGGCCACAGGGCGTGACGTTGTGACGATTTATTACAACCGGCTTGTGCACACGCAAGAAAAAAAAAAACTACGACCAGACTGGTACGAACACTCGTCCAGCAGCACTGAGATGACGTTTCCGTTTGGACAATCGTAATGCCAAGTGATTCTGATGCGGTGCTGGGAACTTCCTGAAAAGTGAGAGTTCTACTGGTGAGGTGTCTCGAAGCAGCGCGTTTCGGCTCAAGCGGGAACTGGTCAAGAGTGAAATGTTTCTGAAGGTGCGTTGATTACAACCTACAGCTGTTCTGTATACGTGCATACCCACATGTATTTGTACCAACTGGCATGCACTAGACACGCATTAGACGCGCGCCTGGCGTTTCAATAAAAACCGACAAGTGAACTCGCTTCGCAGATCCGCGTCGACATACGTTGACGGAGTTGCACGAAAGCATTCGCGTGAAATGGTTCATAGTTGCACTTCATGGTGCGCTTCATCTCGGAAAGCACGAGGTAAGTTGAAGAGAGCGAAACCGTTTTCTGTTATTTACGGCAACGCAGCATTGCTGAAAAACGCAGATGTTGCATTGAACAAGCATGGCGAAACAATCTTGGTTGACTTAGCGCACACCGAAACGCTCCTCCTCTTCAGTTTATGTTCTGGCTACGATTTTGTCTTTGGTCACGGCGAGAATCCGGCTGGAGCCATATGCGCATGCGTACTCGTTTTGAACCTTTTGCATAATAATAAATAACACCACCAGCCATTTGCAAGATCACGTGCAAGTAATGCACCAATTACAGACGCAGATATCAGAGAAAAAAGAGGAGTAATCGAGAGAGTGAGGAGGACGGCTCGAGAACACTGAGTGACGCTACCTTGTTTCATCTAGGGACCTTAGGCCGAGCTGAGCACAGTGCCACCGCTCGACCTAAAATGACGAAGGTGTTATCTCGAAATAATGCTGGCTTTCGCAATGAACATTGTTGCCGAGACGTGGATCTGACATCGCCGATCCCGAGTCAAGGCGGAGCGCTGAGTGAAGGCATGTCCTAGAATAAAGGAGTTAATTCTCCGAGCGATCGACACGCTTCTCGCCCGCAGGAAGTCTTAAAAGCAACTGCTGATCACCCTGCTAGCGCAATTAGTACGTCACGAGTAAAGTGAGCCCGGTGACTAGTGAGAAGTACCAACGCCGAGTATCACCAGAATTTTGAAAGATGCATCTGCATGCGTGAAAGGGAGTAAAGCACCTATGCTATAGCACTTTAACATAAACATTTACGTATCGGACACGTAAATTTGTCATAGCCATTGTTTTTTCTTCAAACCTCATCAGCCAGGCCGTAAAAATGTCACCGAAAGTATGCTCACTACCTTTGACAGCACGTCGTTCGAACAGTTCGCAGTTTTACTGTCAATATATTATCATGCCTGGTCACATCTTAGTTTGCGGTTCAGTTTAACAGCCACAACACTTCTACACATATAAGAAAAAAAGTACAAATAATGCCTAAAAATCGAATGAAGTGTGTCGATTATTTTCTTCACATAGCCTCAATCCGCTTTTATTTTCCAAAAAAGGCCCAGCGCGTCCACGCGTATCACCAAGTCAGAGAAGTCTAAACAGAGAGAGACCATTGTCTGCCGTAATAACGAAATCACAAGAGAAAGAATTATTGCTCTCTGCAGTAACGCCTCTGTGTACGATTGTACAGTTTTAACATTCGGACAAACATATATTACACTGCTGCGGAAAGTGCAACCTATTTTACTTGTGTTTTCATTTTTTCTATGACTAAAATTGTTGAAAGCTACAAAAGTTAGGAAGCATATCAAAACATGAATTTTTTGAAATAGAAATATGAAAATAAACCAGATCAGACGCTTTCTCTTGCTCTCTTCATTCTTTCTCTCCGTTGAGATTTGCTGCGCTGTCTTTTTTTTTAAAGTGCATTACCAGCTAGCCCTCTCTGATGCAATGCTTCAACATAAATGCCAAAAAAGGTACAAGTGAGTCTACCACACCTTTTGACGTGCATGGGATTGACAGAGCGCCACTCCTTGGTATGTGCGTTGAAGCATCGCACGCGGCTGTAGTAGTCTTCACCGTTGAAGCCTCCGATGACGTAGATTTCAAAGCCGACCACTGCGCACTTGTGATAGGCACAAGGTCCAAATGGGTCGGTGGTGTCTGCCTGCCCAAGTGGAGAAAGCGTTATTATTTAGAACACGACTCACTTGTTCAGCCGATTCCAAATTGATGAACTCCCGCGCTTGCCTATACGTGCTATTTGTGTCTCCTCCTTCGAACATTCTTTTCTTTCCAAGCTTACGTAAATCAACCTAATCAACTTTCTTGTGGCAGCTCATTACACGCGATACATTACACAGCCCACCCAAGAAACTCCAAACACTTCTTTGACGTTGATAATGTTATTTACCATATAATGTAGACCTTTAAAAGAATAATAAATAGCTCATTACCAGCATCCTCGGCATGAATAGCTGACTAGTCTAGACCTCAACAACCAGCTTGTGCTACTAACCACTGCGTATTACTATGGTTTTCCGGAGTGAGGATACCACTCACCTAAAGCTGGGACAAAAGGTGAATCACTTTATGTTTCCTCTATTAACTACCTTCTAACGCACGGGCTTAAGGTATTAGGATGACTGTGAAGATGACCGGCGATACCAAGTAAGGGACCACTGCTCTCATTACTCATAGAAAACAGTACTGCCAATAATAGTACGGTAAGAGAAGTGATGATTATACAGTGAAGCGATTTGTTTTATGTTAGCGTCAGCAAGTAGATGAGCATCAAAAGGAATCGAATATTTGAAAGTCAAACCGAAATGCTTTCAAATAGTTCACCTGTTCACACGAAACAAATAATGTGACCTAACAAAAACTTGGATACCAATAAATATTGTAACGATGCTGCCGTGCCAGCTATACAAGCATCTACAGCGGGTAAAACATTTACTCAGCCGTCGTTACGAACTTTGATAGTGGTTGGACTGTCGCACTTTATTGGCATGTTCCCGCTTTTTGCCGCACCCTGCCACTCCATCAGTCGAGGTGCTATGAGGGAGTGTGTCACTGGCAGGAGATGGTAGTTGTCTTCTTGCAAGTGAATTCCTCTTTACGAACGTCTTATGACTCGTCGTGACCGCGCTCACTGAGAACGTTGGCAAATACACTGACGACGCCTTTACGACTGATGACAAAAACCCAGTGCTATGACTATAAAAAACTTGATATGTCGAGTTCCTTGGCAGAAGTGAAGATTACACTGACGCTTTCCTTGCTCTATCAAATCCAGCGTGCTGATAGTGGAAGAATGTGATGTCCAAGTAGCCGCTGTACAGTAGTATATTTTTGGAAGCAGCTGGGTATGAGAGCGAAGCTGTGATACACTTACTTCAGCAAACGCTTTATTCGTTTGGGATGTACACGCTATAAAACATCGGTACAGAGTTTATAGGCGAACGCACGTCAATCCATCGGTCAGCCTTCGTGTCGTAGGTCTCGACGACGGCCGTTGGCCCTCCGGCATTCCAGCCTCCCACGATGAACACCACCTCACGCGGTATGCGTGGCCGGACGAACAGAGGCGTTGGCACCTGCTGATTGTGCACCATGACGTCGAGATCATAGAGGAAGCGAAGCGTCTCCACGACCAGGGGCCTGCGCATGCACGAACAACTTTTCGTAGTTGCATAGTTTCATACCAAACTCTTCGCGTTACAGTGCAATACCTAAGGCTTCATTATTCATGGCAAACAAGACTTGAACATAAATTTTTCAAACATTCCTCGCCGCTTCGAATACATTAGTTGTGAAATTGTTGAAACATTATCTTTGTAGCTTTCAAACCTAGCATATCTTCGTTAGAACAGCATAACCAAAAGACCTATATTGCGTGGGCAATGCTTCGAATCTTTCCTTATCTAATTGGGACGGGTTTGGGATGGTTATATCTACAAATATATCAATTTCCTTATCTAATTCAATATGTTCCTCTCCTTCACACAGGTGACGTTGCCCACATAGGAGATTTTTCAGTTTGTATATCAGAGCCAGCAGAGTCAGCAGCCTAGGCGAATTAGTGCGTTGAAAATCATTCGGCGAAGGTCAATAAAGTTGAAAGTTCACACTGGTCAACTAAGAGCTAAGTGTAAGAGGTCACTAAAATGAATGTATGGAGCTTAAGAACTCGTGAAATGGCCACACTGTAGTGCTGGCGGTAGAGACTCATTGAATAAAGAGGTGCTGAAATGAAAGATACATTTGATTGGCTCTCACAGAAGACCACCGCAGGGGAAGAGAAGACTCACACGCAAGGCACAAAAGTTATCCTGTGGCTCAATGGTACGAATGTTTCCGACTTGAGGCCAAAATCATGACTGCTCTGTAATATGCTTCTTATTCGTTTTATACCAGTCATTCTGCGTACCACTTCCTTCCTGAGGGCTTCACCTTTTCCATAGTTGCAGTCTGTCAGGTCCGTTTCAAAACTAAAATCGCCCGACACCAAGCGTGCATGTGTGGTACTAGGCTGAAAATCCATCAGCCGCAACCCGCAAGATTATAAGATGCGTGGACAACGTACCTGCAAGCCTCGTCATCGGCCACGTACTTGCACGCCTTGATCTTTTCGACGAAGAAGTCTGTGTCCACAAGCCCCATGCGAACGCATTTGAAGAGTCGGGAGATATACTGCTTCCTGTTGTCGCTGTCGAAGTCAATCCAGCGAATCACCGCTTTCCAGACGGTCTCCTCCTTGATGACGTTAAGGTTCTCGTCCGACATAATGGCCTCCACTTCGTCAATCTCCAGGTGGAGCAGCTCCTCGCCTCTCTCAGACACCTCGATGAAGTTCTGCATCAAATAGCTGCGCAGAGAAGCACAGAAGGCTTTCGTATCAAACTAGAACGTACATTGGCGCTGCTAACTTCTTTGACACAGCCCACACACATAAATTAAGACACAAAATGAGAAATTAGTGTAGATAGTCTAGAGGGCCCGTAAGTTGCTTAGAGGACAAGATATCCTCGAGTGTGGACGTCCTTCTCAAACTTCGTTAGCCAACTAAAGGTTGTTATGCCTGCGAGTCCGCAGCGAACGTTCATGCCTCTGAAAAAAGCAATCTGTGTCAAGGCCAGCCCGCGAGCCGCCTGACGTGAACAACTCAACGGCGTAAACACGCGCGGCGCCACGTGCAGTGAGTCAGCGCAGCCAGCGAGCCTGTCGAGTAAACAACCGGCGTCTTTCTGTCTGGGGGGGGGGTGACGAAATGCCTGGCGACGTCACTCGTCCTTGGGTGCAGCCACCTGCAGCGCAGCCTCTCCAGCTTCGATGAGAAAGAATGACGCGGCCCAGCAGTGACCTCATTGGAGGATTCTGACCTCGCGACCAGCGGTGCTTCTGGTTGGACATTTGGGTTGGACCCGGGGCATATAAAAGAAGCCCTGCGGCGCGTCGAGAGAGACCCCTTTGACAGCAGGCCCATTTGAGAGCAGACCTATGTGTTAGAGAGGAGAGCTCGGCTCTTCGAGTCTCTGTCGGCCCCAGTGCCGAATTTGTAATGCCTCTGTATATACGCTGTACATAAACCTTGTTTAACTCACCGTCGTCTCGTCCGCTCGTCTATCAGGTCTGCGCAGAAGCAGTCGCGAGCTGAGAAACCTACGCTACCAAACGGCTGGTGACCTTCCCGGCGGAGTTCGAAGCAGTGGCGCCTTCGGGACCGTGTTGGCGTCGCCGTCTTTCGAAACAGTGGTTGCAGCGGTGGGATTCGTAGCGCCTTTCGTAACGTCGTCGGAGGCGCGCGTCGCAACAGTGGTTGGCAGCTGCGGGATCGGCTGGCGTCAGCGACATCGATGCGGTGAGTGCCTGATGTTTTCCCCTCAGTTCACCAGACTACTCTAGCTCAGGTTATAGTAGATTAGAGAAGGGCTGTGTGAAGCATTGGAGTGAGCTTTGATTGTTTCAAGCCAAGTCGAAGCGCTTTGAAACCAAAGTTAATGCGGAGGTTGTAAACACAGAGTGTTTAAAATTGCTTGCGCGTCTTGCTAGTAGGCTTGTAGTGGGTACGGCAAATAGATTCTTAACAGGGGCAAACAGCAAGAGGCTAGTGTGAACGATGGAGAACCTTAAAGTGAAGGAACTCATCAAAATTTGTGAGGAACTCGGCATTACTTTGGGCCGTGCGAAACGAAAACAAGCGATCCTTGAGATCATGAAGGATGAGGGAGTGTCGGCTGAAGAAGTCGATGAGGCCTGGGTGGATATCAAAGCACGCCGCGAGGAAGCTAAAAGGCGAGAAGCTCGCGAACGTGAAGAAGCTGAAAGGAGCGAACGTCGCGAGCGCGAGGAGGCCGAGAGACGGGAGCGCCTCGAGTTGAAACGAATAGAATTGGCAATACTGCAGTGTTCGCAGGCGCCTAGCGTAGCTTCTCCGACGATTCAGGTCAGCGGTTATAGAATTCGGGACCAACTGCCACCGTTCGTAGTAGGCGAGGACATGGCGAAGTATCTCGTCAAGTTTGAACACGTCTGTGAGCGAAATGCTTTGGAGCGGTCTCTTTGGGCGCAGAACCTGTTAGCTCTACTTCCCAGCGAAGTGTCCGACGCGATAACTTGCTTGTCGAGGGAAGCGTTTGAGAGCTATGACGAGGTTAAGAAAGTGCTCTTGAGACGTTATAAGTTGTCGCCCGAGGCTTTCAGGCAAAGGTTCCAGTATGCTAAAAAAGGGAATGAGTCACACGCTGACTTCGCGTTTCGTCTTAAAGCTGATTTAGTTGAATGGTTCAAGGGCGAAGGTGTTTATGGCGACCGCGATAAAGTGGTGGAATGCGTTGCGTTGGAGCAATTCTACCGCTGCATCGAGGAGGATGTCAAACTTTGGCTGCAGGACAAACTTGGTGAAGTACAGCTAAACAAGGCAGCAGAGTGAGCTGAGGAGTATTATACTCGCCGAAAGTTGCATAGCAGGGCAGTGCGCGTGGAAAAGGATGAAAGGAAAGAGGGCTTTTCAAAAAAACCTGATCAACGGAAACCCGCTTCGCACCGTGATTTCAAGAAGGACCCGTCTCTTACGAAGGACACTGTAGGGGAAGGGCAAACGGATGCAGAGCAATCGAGTGAGGTTCCTTAACAACGCACTGATACCACACGGGCGTTTGAATCACGGAAGCCACTAATCTGCTACAACTGCAAAAAGGAAGGGCACATCGCGATAAACTGTAAGCAAAAGTTTGGTTTTGCAACAATCCGAGAATCGGAAAAGAACATGCGGTTGTTGGAGCGGTATATCCAAGAAATTAGTGTGAATGGGCAAACGTGTGGAGCACTTCGTGACTCAGCAGCAACCATGGATGTTGTCCATCTTTCATTGGTGTCTCCGGATGACTTTACAGGAGAATGCGCGTGGATCAGGCAAGTCGCCGAGGAGCAGAGTGCTTGCTTACCAATAGCTACGGTTGTCATTGAAGGCCCGTTCGGTAAGCTTCGCACCGAAGCGGCTGTGTCTGCCGCCCTTCCCGATCGTTTTCCTTATCTTTTCTCCAACAACTCAGAGGAGCTTCTCAAAGAGCAGGGTAAATCGTTCTTAGCGTACATGGCCCTCACGCGATCGCAACCGCGGAAGCTTTCGCAGGAGCTTGATCTTGTTCAATGCGATGAACTCTCAAGCGACCTTGTCGGCGGGTCAACGGAACCTCAGAGAGGAAATTGTCCGCGTGAGTCATGTGAGCAGTCACGCAAGCGGCCCGTCGCCGAAGTGACCGGCGCGGTTTCCGTAGAAAGGGGAGACGACATGGCGCCATTGAATCAGAGCGAGAGGGCTGCAACGCTCTCGCCTGTAGCGGAAAGTTGGAGTGAGCTGTCGAGGGTTGATCGAGAAACGCTCATTCGAGAGCAGCGTGAGGACCTCTCGACTAAAGCGCTAATAGAAAGCGTGAACTTAGGAAAAAAGAAAAAGAATGTTTCTTTGAGAAAGCAGGGCTTTTGTATCGGAGCTACACAAATGCGCAAGGTCGCAAGTATGAGCAGCTCTTGGTGCCACAAAAATATCGTCGCCAAGTATTGGAACTGGCGCATGAAAACGCATGGGCAGGGCATCTCGGCATAAAAAAAACCAAGGCTAGAGTTTCCCTTGAGTTTTATTAGCCAAAATGCTGGAAGGATATCAAAGACATTGTACGCTCACGCGACACTTGTCAGAGAGCGGGGAAATCCACGGACAAGTGGAAGGCACCCATGAAGCTTGTGCCAATTATCACAGAACCTTTTCGGCGCCTAGTAATTGATATAGTGGGGCCATTGCCAGAGTCAAGGCAAGGTTGTCGGTACATCCTGACGGCTCTCTGTGTAGCCACAAAATTTCCGGAAGCGATACCACTTAAGGAGCTCAATTCTCCTCATGTCGTGGATGCACTGCTATCTATATTTGCACGCGTCGGATTTACTTATGAAATCCAATGCGACAACGGTAGTGTCTTTACCAGCTGCCTTACCTCTACCTTTATGAATAAATGTGGAATAAAAGTAGTGCACAGTTCGATACATCACCCGCAATCTAATCCGGTAGACCGTATGCATTCCGTTCTGAAACGGATACTGAGAGCTCTCTGCTACGAGCACGAATGCGACTGAGAAGCGTGTATTCCGCCCGCTATGTTCGCTTTGAGATCAGCTCCTCATGAGAGCACTGGTTTTAGCCCTGCAGAGCTTGTGTATGGCAGGAGTTTGAGAACACCATTGCGAATGCTACGCGAGTCCTGGGAGGGATTCGATGAGGACCCTAATGTAGTTGCGTATGTTTTAGACCTCCTTCAGAGGCTTGGAAAAACGAAAGATTTTTGTGGAAAGCCACAAGAAGGCTGCACAAGTGTTGTCGAAGGAGTACTACGACAAATCGGCGAAGAAGCGCATATTTGAAGTTGGTAGTCAAGTAATGCTGCTGCGGCCGTCCAAAAAGAACAAGCTTGAGGTTCATTGGGAAGGGCCCGCCAAAGTAATATCGAAGCTTTCTGATACGAATTATGAAGTGAAATTAGGAAGGCGGCCGAACAAAATTTATCACAGTAAATTGATGAAACCATACGTTCAACGTCAAGCAGTCGTAAATTTACTTTTAAATGCTTCAGAGGAAGAGGGAGCAGAAATTTGGAGTTCCAATGATGTACTCGAAATGGGATCTGAGGTAATCTTGGAGCAGTTGAACCTAGAGCCTAGGTTAGGTGAAGTCCAGAAGGAGGACCTTAGAAAGATTGTTTTGGTGTTTGAAGACGTGTTTTCGGACTGTCACGGAAACTTGACGGTGATCGAACACAATACCGAGCTAACCTGTGAGGAGTCAATCCGTAGCAAGCCGCATCGTTGTTCCCCCGTGCAACGTCGCAAGTATGAGCAGCTGTTGGTACCGCATAGGTATCGTCCGGTTAAGCTGTTGTTACCGCATAAGTGGCCGGTTACTGAGATGGAGCATGATGCTCCAACAGCACAACTTTGACGTTCGCTACAAAAAAAAAAGGAAAGCTATACGCTAATGCAGGTGCATTCAGCAGTGCGTTCTAGCTAGTACCTTCTCAACCTTTCGGTTTCTCGCTGGCGATTCGGGGCAACATTTTGACCTCATCACGACCTGAGCTGAGCGCTCTTGTCCAGAGTGAGCTCAAGGAGCCAACTTTATGTTGTATTCTAATTCGTTACGATGTTGTACGTGTAAAAAAAATGAGTTCTCATTTAAGAGTCTTGTGTCTCACACGTGCCTCTTGATGTAGAAGGAACGAAATTTCGATAGACACGTAGCTAAGTATTACTATACTTTGTCTGGTGTTCTGTCGGGTGACCGAGGGCATTTGCTTGTGTCGTGTGTTGTCTGTTGTCGAACCGTTATTGGCAAGTTGCAGAACCATCGACAAGTGCTGAAACCAAGGATCGTCAGGAGAGACGAACGAAGCTGGTCGACAAGTTGTGGCGACAAGCCAGTGGAGCTGGGATCCGCCCTCAAGAATGGGATGTGTTCCCGCAACAGAGTCTGGAGCTGCATTCTCCCCATGGCCCTGATGTGTTCCCGGAACAGAGTCTGGAGCTGCATTCTCCCCATGGCCCTGGAGGCAATACTGGAGGGACCTGGCGAACGAGCGCGCCTTACATCCGAGCCACGTAGAAGCAGCTCGTCTTTCCGGCGCACTGTCTGGCGGCGGGGGTGCTGTTATGCCTGCGAGTCCACAGCGAACGTTCATGCCCCTGAAAAAGGCAATCTGTGTCAAGGCCAGCCCGCGAGCCACCTGACGCGAACAACTCAACGGCGTAAACACGCGCGGCGCCTTTCTGGCGCGCACGTGCAGTGAGTCAGCGCAGCCAGCGAGCCCGTCGAGTAAACAACCGGCGTCTTCCTGTCTGGGGGGGGGGTGACGAAATGCCTGGCGACGTCACTCGTCCTTGGGTGCAGCCACCTGCAGCGCAGCCTCTCCAGATTCGATGGGAAAGAATGACGCGGCCCAGCGGTGACCTCATTAGAGGATTCTGACCTCGCGACCAGCGGCGCTTCTGGTTGGACATTTGGGTTGGACCCGGGGCATATAAAAGAAGCCCTGCGGCGCGTCGAGAGAGACCTCTTTGACAGCAGGCCCATTTGAGAGCAGACCTATGTGTTTGAGAGGAGAGCTCGGCTCTTCGAGTCTCTGTCGGCCCCAGTGCCGAATTTGTAATGCCTCTGTATATACGCTGTACATAAACCTTGTTTAACTCACCGTCGTCTTGTCCGATCGTCTATCAGCTCTGCGCAGAAGCAGTCGCGAGCTTAGAAACCTACGCTACCAAGCGGCTGGTGACCTTCCCGGCGGAGTTCGAAGCAGTGGCGCCTTTGGGACCGTGTTGGCGTCGCTGTCTTTCGAAACAGAGGTTGCAGCGGTGAGATTCGTAGCGCCCTTCGTCACGTCGTCGGAGGTGCGCGTCGCAACAAGGTATGCTTATTCTCACTGTGTTATGAGCTCTTTCTCTCCCTTTCACTCTTGCATTTATTGTAACATTTTCTCCTACACGAAAGGAGTCGAGGTACTTTAATAAAAAAACAATTCTGTGAAAATTTACCATGACAGACTAGGTGATGCATCCACGCCGTTACAGTATTTGCATTAGTAAACGCTTTGAGATGACATAACTGAATTGCAAGAATATATTGGTCAACTAAAAGAAAGTTTTAACAATACCGTTCATTTCTGCGAATGCCTGCCCCTTTACTGGGTACAAATACAGCGCAAATAGCAAAGACAAAGCAGCCCTGTCAAATTTCACATATTCAGACTAATGAGTGGAAATTTTCTTTTGTGAATAAAAACGTGTGCAAAAAAAAGTTGCCGACGTCAAAACAAAAAAAAAATCGTGTTTTGCCGTATGTCAAGATTACCGCATGTGCACCGCTTGGGATTTTATGAACTACAGGTTTCCCCGCTCACTTTAATCCAACTGGCAGCCTAAATATTTCGCACGTCGTTGAAGTATTCTGAGGGCCAAACTATTTATTCCTTGTGCCAAACATTTAACCCAAGCACCAAGATATTTAATTCAAGTGCCAACTCAATTAGGCTGCGTGCCAGTTGCGTTTAATCCAAGTGCCAGCATGTTAAATCCGATTGCCCACGGTTTCATTTCAGGTACCAGCCAGCTTAATCCATGCGCAAAAAGCAAAATGTCGGGCGTAAAAGCAATAGCACAATTGAAACCCAGTTCCTACAATATTTAGGATAATAGCCACAAAGCATAACAAATCATTATTGTTTGTAATCGCCGCTAGTATTTGTGAAAAAAATTGCTGCCGTTGTTCGCTTGAGGCGTGTTTGTACTTCACTGTGTACATGCTTGTAGAAAAGTGCTTGACCCGGGTGAAATCATTTTAATGGCAACGATAGAAAAAGTGAGAACATGCTAATGGCTATTTTATTTTCATCACTAAAGCTCATAATTTGATTTGAATAGCACTGAATGATCGGGACAGGTCATGTATAGCGAAGGAAAGGCTATAGTTATTGGATTGCCGGAATGTATACCAAGATATAGAAAACCTGGCCCGATGCAGCGATGGGTCAAAAGCAGGTACATAATCAGGAAAATTAGGACGCCCTCACAGGGCAGAGTGAATTAGAGATAAATCAAAGGGGTTTGCGACCTGCAGTGCACATAAGACATAGACTCATAATCTTGATGCGGACAACGGAAGTCATGTTTTACATTCAAGTTAGCTGTCATCTTTTTATTGAGCAAAATTATGTGTATCCGATAAAACACGCGTGTTTAAAGCAAACACGCTTCAGCAACACTAGCGTTGTCTGTTACATGAACACAGGAGTATCTGTTTTGATGCTTTTATACAAAAATTTAATTCCTCATGAACAAAAATAACTTAAAGTTTAGTTTTTAAGTGATTACTTGTCGTTTCAAGAACGGAAGAATATCATCTGTCGGTCACCATTGTTCTCACGGGCTGAGCAGAGGACTGCGAAAGCCTCAGCGAATAAGCATCCAAAAGTTGTCTGCTGAGCAGACGACATGAGCCTCTGCATTGCGTTGATGTAGATGATTAGCCGGAAAAATGCACTAGCGATGCAGCACAGACTAACATAGACTCTATGAGCAAATACATTTAGTACCAATAAATGCAAATAATAGACACTTTTTTTAATTTGAAGCTATGACACCAATACGTAAGGAGGACATAGCACTGCACCACATTTCATAAGCGCTAGCATGTATAGGTGTGCAAAAAGTTCTTCCTGTACGTCGCTTCATGTTTACATTATTCCGACATTTAAACTGTATAAAGTGGCAAACCATGAGATTCTGGTGCATGGAATAAACTGAGTGGCACCTGAATTAAAGCCGTTGGCAATTGGAATAAACATGGTGGCACTTGTACGTTGCCCAACTGAGCTGACGCTTGAAATAAATATGTTGAAACTGGGATTAAATGATTGGCACATACAATAAATAACTTGATGCTCAGATTAGTTCAATGGTGTGTGGAATATTAAGCAGGAATTTCGATTAAAGTGAGCGGGAAAACCTGTAGTTCATAAGCATTGCCTCTGAGACGAGCTGGTGCCCGCACGGCGCTGATATCTTGGATAGAATCGTCTACGACTTAGCCCATACGCTTCAAGCAGGTGATATATGTGATTGAATTCCGCAATATATAAGGGTTGCAATTAAAAGCAAAGCATTCGCAATTATTAACCGTGCAGTTGGATTAAGAGTGTTTTAGTGATGCGTAGGGAATCAATCTTCACAGGGGACAAATCAAAAAGTGATTTAGTGAAAGTGAAAATTGAGGGTACATGGTTCTTTAATCGCATCTGTGTAGACATGTGCACTGGCAGTACCTTCACGGAGGGCGGCAATTCAGCTAACTTAGATGACATGCTACCTCGACGCAGCTTGTAACGATGGACGATTCCGAAGATTAGTCAAGATGGAATGTCCCAGTTCAAAGTTCCGACTACGGGGACCATCTGTGGGTTATCCAGAGAGACCACAATGCAGCAGCCATAGTCGGCCTGCTGGTCACCACGAGGCAGTGACCCCACGCGCTCTAATAACATTTCTTGGGATATTCAATGAAGTTTCTGCATCCATCCATCATACGCAATGTATATATAGAGTTATTGTTATATGCTTTCCGAATTAATACCAACAAAATAATTAATTCAGAGACATTAACGAGGGTAATCGCAGCCATTTATCAAAAGCCTGTCAAAGGCTTCTTATGCTTCATCCTCATCTCCTGGGCGCTGTATCAACGAAAGATAAATATAAATGCACACCAACTCGCTCTAGCTTCTAGTCTTATCATTCAGAGTTGGGATTGTATGAAGTATCCGTACAAGCATAATTCATACAATTATTTTCTCAAACCATCACAGATAGCCACCACCCCAGCAGAAGAGAGCAATAACGAAGAAGTTTTGGGAATTTGACCTTTCACTCACTTGTAAGCCTTCGTGGTGAGGACCGGAACAGTTGTACAGCTTGGCCACATTGCGTATGGAAATGCAGTTTTCGGGAGTCATGATTGAGACAAGGAAGTCGCAGCAGTCCTTGATTATGCCCATGACGCAGAGGTAGTCAGCCGCCTCCAGCAGGCTTTCGACGTTATCGCAGTCCACCCGCGTCATACGCTTGTACGCAAACTCCACGATGATGGCCATGGTCTGCTTTATAACTCCGGGAATCAGTGCTTCGCTACGCGTCTCCTTGATCTTACGACAACCGAACAGTGCTCTGCGGAAAACGAATGCGCCACTCACGACGACTGGTGATGCGTAGGTGTTATACGAGCAGTTACGAACAAAAATTGGTATAGCATTGGTATAGCGAATCTGGTATAGCAAATATGTATAGCATGACAATAGTTATAGCGCGAGAACAAAACGTCGACACAGACCTTCATGTCCTTCTTGTGTCTGTGTCGTCGGTTTGTTCTCGCGCTATAACTATCGTGAAGTGGAAGCCGGCTGAGTCTGCCACACGTCGATGTTAGATCGGCAGGGCATCACCCGAAGTATGTGACATACTTACATACTACCTACAAACAGAGAAGGGAACGACGCACACCCTAAGAAGCTTCGCCCTTAAAAAAACAAAAAAACACGAGAAAGGGTTGACGAGAACTGGAACGTTACCCTTTTGACGCGACCGTTATATCTAAGCACTGAGATTAAACCATCCGCGAATAAATCAAAGCTTTCCAGCTTTTCACATCTTCATATCTGCGGAGAAAAAAGATGTGCCAGCCATCTATCTATCGCCATATCAGAGCAGTACTTCTTTTCAATTAAGATACTGCACTAAACTTTTTCGATTCCCATTGGGCCTCCCCCACGGTTTTAGGTGCTTGTTCATCAAGCTTCTTTGGCTAGCGCCTCGTTTGTGGCCGGTAGCGCATACACTAGTTCTAGTTGCTCCTTCTGGAGGCGCCGATGTGTTCTCTCGCAGCTTCACTTTCCCCGGTGAGCCACGCAAGCGGCGGCGCGTGGCCATTCAGTTACACAGGCGACCACTAGAGGGCCCAGCCGTATACAGGGCTCGCATTCGGGGTGTTTTTTTTTTCTTTTCGCTGGGAGCTCAGTCAGTCAACATTCATTTTTACCGCTCTACAGCACTAGATCTTCGGAAACCAAGGCAGCAGCGAGGTGAGCTCGCAACGTAGCACCATCTCATGCTCACAGTCAATAAATACCATTGCAGTGAGAGCCCGGGAAACCTATCAGCAAAAGATTCACCGTCAAGCGAACTCAGAGCTGCGGGCTAACGAAGCAGAAACTAAGCGGGTGTGCTGTCAAGCAAATTCATCAGGTCTTTGTATTATGGTAGAGGAATATGTACAGAATATTTGTAGGGCACCCGATTATTTCTGCACGAGGACCTCTACATCATTAAACTTGTGGATATGGTGGTGATTTTTTAGCGGCGAAGCTCTTTAAGCCGTGGGTAGTGCGTCGCTGATGTATGTAGTAGTAATAGTAGTAGTAGTAGTAGTAGTAGTAGTAGTAGTAGTGGTGGTGGTGGTGGTGGTGGTAGTAGTAGTAGTAGTAGTAGTAGTAGTAGGTAGCCACCTCTCGTTTAGTATTTAGAATGTCCACTGGATGCTGGTACTTGTATAAGAAATATTGTTACAAAAAGGAAGAAGGGTGGTGGGCACGAGCCACGGCCACCAGCAACGGCTGGTGAACATGACACTTAAGACGTACGCGAATTATCAAGAATCTTCGGGAGTCTACGAAGGCCGGCCGAAAGCCAAGCCTTCCCAGCTACAAGTGGCTCATGAAGTGAAAAACCTCCTAGTATGACCTCAAGATGGCAAACAACGTGACCACGAAGTCCTCTATACATCAAAGTAAGTTGGAACAACCGCCTCCAGAAGACAAGCCACTGCCTCCCCAAGCTGTATCACTGGCAAAATCCATTCGTCACAGTGTAAAAGCTCCTGGCAGACCCACTCAAAACTTTTAAAGGAGGCAACTTTGCCAGCTGCAGGAGTGTGTTTAAATAAAGGAGGAAGAAGGGGTTGTGGGCACGAGCAACAACCACGGGCGCTAACTCAATAGGTTGTTTTGTAGACCTTGGACGTTGCTAGACGATCGAGTCTGGGTCTTCTACTTCGTTTCTCACAAATATATGATGAAAAGATGCCAGATGGCGTTACTTCAAGTATTCACTAAGTAAACGGACGGACGGACTGACGGATGGACGGACAGGCAGACAGACAGACAGACAGACAGACGCACGGATGAACGGATGCACGGACGGCCGCACGAATGAAAGCATGAACGGACGCACGCATGAACGGACTAACGGAGGCTTCGCCCCTGTCGTCATGATTCACTCCGTGGTTATGCTGTGATTTTTCATTTGAGTTTTTCCTCCGCCTAAATGTACACACCTTCACAATTTTTAGGAGCTTGCTCGGGCAAGCTTCTTATGCTTGTGCCCTGTCTTGTGGTGCCGGCGTATACACCAGTGTTGTTAGTGTTCACTTCTCTGGTCGCCGCTCAAGGTCGACATTCTAGACACCTCAACGGTGATTCTAACAAGGCTCACGAGATGGTAGCTGCCACCCAAGGTGTTTGTTTTCGATGGCCCGCGCGCTCACCTGCTCGCGACTTCGTCCACTTCGTTCTCGTCGCTTTTCAGGCATGGCAGCTCGTGACAAGTTACTACAATACGTGACAAGTTGCTACAATGAGTGTTGCACACGGGTACCGATATCCTCCCTAGCCCCCTCACCTGCCTGGTCTCAACCTCATAGATGAATGCGTGAGAGCTCCACGGTGGCACATTTGTGAGCGTTAGGCATTCCACTCACCGCAGTGGTCAGTATGAGATAAAAGGGCAGGTGGTTAATGTGCCGATCAACGTGGACAACACTGTGTGCAGTGCCAGCCACAGAATGCGCCCGAGAACGCTGTCTTTGACAAGCTCACTATGCGACGGCTTCTTGACAACCCTTCTTACAGAAATGATCTCGCCAAGAAACGCCCCATGTAGCTCCGAGCAGGCTCGTCTAACACCACTCACGTTGAGGATATGGCGGAGATTTTTTGTTGCGAAAGCAATCATATATATACCGTAGGCTGGTTTTAGGTGCGAAGCTCACTAGGCTGTGGGTCGTTCCCTACTCTTTAGTAGTAGTAGTAGTAGTAGTAGTAGTAGTAGTAGTAGTGTCACACACTTCGATTGAGGCCCCGCCGACCCAACATCGACGTGCGGCAGACTCGCAGGCTTCCACTTTACGCTTCGGCCTGCGACGCCTGAAAGGCCTCGAAGTGGCACATTTCGAATTTATTTGAGGGTTGGTCGACCCGTGCGGGGTTGCACGTGTGGTGCTGTGTGGGCCTGACCGACGCACTCATAGAGCAGACACGGAGTTTGATTACACACAAACAAGCATTTAATTGAAACAAGGGCAAAGGCAGGAGTTAACGAAAAATAACAAAGAAGGAAAACTGATACGTGCGATAGAAACAACAGCTACATAACAAAATGTGCTAAAAACACTACAAAAGATACAGGCTAAAGACAAATACGCGGAATGTTAATAAAATAACGACCAAATGGAAATCGTAAAAAAGGGTTACAAGGAAATAATTACAGAATGATCCTTGGTCGCGCTATTGAATTTCTATATGCGTCGCAGCGCACACAACTACACAGTTAAAAAAAAAGGCTGGTTAAAACAATTTAGCAGTTTAAAAAAAGTCACAATAAAAAGTTCCATACGGACCAGGCCAGCTCTTGGTGCACGTAGGGGAGTTGACGGGTGCCGCTGAAGGTCTCGCCGGCTTGGTAGACGACGAGGGTGCCCGGAATTGCAGCCGTCTCAATACGTTGCACGGGTCACTCCGTGCTCGCCGCCTACGCGAGGCTCGCGACACCGACGACCGCACTTGTTGCTGGCTGTACGTCAACTGCTCTTCCGATGCAGTCCAAACCTCTTCAGGGGCGTACACGTGTTCCCGTCTCATCTGGGAGTAATTCTCCTTGTTGAGACCGCCGGTTCCCCTTCCGGTCAGGGGCAGGGAAGACGAGCCGGCGCCACGCTGGGTCGTTATAGTCGCCGGATGTCGTCTCCCAACACAAAAACGCCCTTCCTTGGAAGATGGGGCCCGCGGATGCTCCGAAAATTGGAGTCGTTTGTGACATAGCCCCCTTCTTAAGAATATTACTTCGTAATGTTCAAGAAAATCACAAACGCTCAATGTTCGAGAGCTTGCAGGGTTCCGGTTGTCCACCAATGCGTTTTCTTTTTCGCGCACCATTTCACTGACGTGGACGACATCGCAGAGAACACCTGACACACTACGCTTCACGGTCACCATACGATGAATGTCATACCCCGCGCACAACGTCATGGCCACACACATGAAAAGACAATGACAAAAATACTGCACACTTCCAAGCTAAGGCACGTAAGCATCCTTTGATGCCACATATTAAAACAGTACACGCTTTAAGCGGTATTGAAAAGTCACTTATTGACACGCAGCTTTCGAAAAAGATGAATGAGTAATAAATCAGCATGATCATTTGTGCACAGTTCTTGAACATTCTCCACACTAAAGCGCTTCCTTTCAAAATAATAATAGAAAGAAAAGTCTTCAATAACATAGCGTCATGTTTATCACACATGCGTGCCGTGATACACTTCAATTGTATGACCAACCAGTCTCTTAAAATGAAAAGCCGAACTAATAAAATAACAAAATCCCTAAAACAAGGCTTCCCTAACAGAACGGGTAATAGGTTGAAACAAGAGAACATCGTCTACAAACACACAGTTGACAAAAGCAAACCAAAAGATTAACTAAGCTATTAGTCCTCCCATTCATGGAATGCTCCTAAATCTAAAAACATAAATGAACATTGTTTCAAACAACAAGTCATTTGCCTTTAAGGTTACCTTTGAGTTCCTATGTACGTAACCTTTATCCGTGCTCGAGGTGGTCGCACTCTTGGGGGAGGAACCGTTTGAAGCAACCAGGGCAGACAAAACAGTGGACGGCCGCTACCCCGACGTCTGTTTCCCGCTAGTTTGCCCCGTGGCAGCAAGCCATCGTCGACACCGCGTTCTACGGAAATGGGCTTTGCACCCGCGTCGCGTCGTCTAGGCATATTGCGCTCCTTCCCCATGCATTCCGCTCCTCGAACACAAGAATAGAGTGGTGGGGGTCGGCTCCTCGGAGCACCAGGTACAATCGCCTGCCTCACCCCCATACCCTTCAAGCGGTATGGGGCATGACTACCCCCTCTACTAGCGAATGCCACAAAACGCAATCGAAGCTTTCGTTGCGTTGATTGCCGTTTGGCGATTCTCGACTTCATGGATGGATTTACACCCTTCGCTTCTCTCTTGTTCTTGCTTTTGCGGCGTATTTTTCCTTTTGCACGTTGCTCAGTGCTCACTTTCGAGAAGTCCGCTTGCAACATTCGCAGAGCAGAACTTGTCTCGCTTGTATCTTCGGCTATAATGCCTATACAGTCGGGATTTTCCGTTAACTTGTGGACACCCTGACTTGCGGGAAGCTTGACTGACGGCTGAGCAATGCAAGCGTCTTCCTCGGGGCTGCGCCGCTCGCACCTGGAAGAACTACTTGCCCCAACATTGCCCAGCTCGCAGTGTGCGTTAGCACCCGACTGTGCCCCGCTCTCTGTACAGGGGACCTCACCTACCGGGCCGGAGGTACTGCGAACTTCACAATTAGCTGCTATGGCGACGCAAAAACAGGGTGGCTGTGCCAAGTCCATTACAGATGACATTTCTGTATTAACAAGACTCTCCAGGCACAGCGCCTCGTCGCCATCACTGTGGCCTTCAGTGGCCTTTGTGGCCACAACGGGACTTTCAGCAGCTAACTTTTTAGGTTCACTCGCGAACCTGATGTCCGCCTGAACAGTACAAAATTTTTGCCCGGCTCTCGGCGGTTTGGCACCTACGGGCTCTTTGCTCCTTTTGTGCCGTGCATCCCAGGTCTCAAACATGCGCCGTTCACTTTCGATTTTCTGGCGCAGTAGCTGAACATGATCCTGGTACGACTGCTTGTTCAGGCCACGGTAGGTCACGCTACTGGGCGTTCCAGCGGCTAAGCTGGGACCCGACTGCGTGGCACACAGTCCCAAGCGCTCTTTTTCTCTCTGAATTCTAAGCCTTGAATTTTCTCGCTCCTGTTCCATCGACAATTCCAGATGTTGCCTGTACCTAATGCGTTCGGCATCGCGCTCCTCTTTAAGTCTATTTCGTTCTTTTTCGACGAAATTATATAACTCCTTGCCTACAAAGCCAAAGGCTTTGCCCTGTTCAATAAGCCTGTCAAACTGCGTGCTGTCCATTGTTACAAACAGTTGATCACCAACAAAACAATAAAAGGACGTTTACATGCTGCACGCTCAGAGTTACGTCAGTCTCCCTGACACCACCACGTGGTCGGCCAGTCCTGTCGCGCGGACGCCAGATAATGTCACACACTTCGGGTGAGGCCCCGCCGATCCAACATCGACGTGCGGCAGACTCGCAGGCTTCCACTTTACGCTTCGGCCTGCGACGCCTGAAAGGCCTCGAAGTGGCACATTTCGAATTTATTTGCGGGTTGGTCGACCCGTGCGGGGTTGCACGTGTGGTGCTGTGTGGGCCTGACCGACGCACTCATAGAGCAGACACGGAGTTTGATTACACACAAACAAGCATTTAATTGAAACAAGGGCAAAGGCAGGAGTTAACGAAAAATAACAAAGGAGGAAAACTGATACGTGCGATAGAAACAAAAGCTACATAACAAAATGTGCTAAAAACACTACAAAAGATACAGGCTAAAGACAAATACGCGGAATGTTAATAAAATAACGACCAAATGGAAATCGTAAAAAAGGGTTACAAGGAAATAATTACAGAATGATCCTTGGTCGCGCTATTGAATTTCTATATGCGTCGCAGCGCACACAACTACACAGTTAAAAAAAAGGCTGGTTAAAACAATTTAGCAGTTTAAAAAAAAGTCACAATAAAAGTTCCATACGGACCAGGCCAGCTCTTGGTGCACGTAGGGGAGTTGACGGGTGCCGCTGAAGGTCTCGCCGGCTTGGTAGACGACGAGGGTGCCCGGAATTGCAGCCGTCTCAATACGTTGCACGGGTCACTCCGTGCTCGCCGCCTACGCGAGACTCGCGACACCGACGACCGCACTTGTTGCTGGCTGTACGTCAACTGCTCTTCCGATGCAGTCCAAACCTCTTCAGGGGCGTACACGTGTTCCCGTCTCATCTGGGAGTAATTCTCCTTGTTGAGACCGCCGGTTCCCCTTCCGGTCAGGGGCAGGGAAGACGAGCCGGCGCCACGCTGGGTCGTTATAGTCGCCGGATGTCGTCTCCCAACACAAAAACGCCCTTCCTTGGAAGATGGGGCCCGCGGATGCTCCGAAAATTGGAGTCGTTTGTGACAAGTAGTAGTAGTAGTAGTGGTAGTAGTAGTAGTATACAGCCACCTCTAGATCTTGAATTAGGTAGTAGATTGCGTTGTGTGTACTCGTCTTTGGAAATAATATCAATAGATAACGTGAGTTGTTTTCATATAGTGGTCGTTTGATGCATAGTTCATGGAAGGACAGACAGACAGACAGACAGAGCGACGGATGCACAGAACGACAGACGGATGCTTCGCCCCACCTCTCATCTTTCAATCCGTAGATTTCATGTGAATTTATTTGCAGCCGGTGTCGGTCGCTGTCATCATACCCGGAAATCGTATAGGTATCTATATATATAGAAAAGCAACAAAGAATAAGAATTCGGAAAAATACTTGCCGGCTCACGCAACGACCGTGGTACTTGGACCGCGCTTCGTTAGCTACTGAGGCATGAATGCGCTCGTCCGTCAATGTTCAAACGGCAAGTTATATATCTAGACCACATCACCGCTTGTAGGAGCCCATCTCGGGAAAATATGAGCGCGTTTTCAGCATTACCAGTGAAATGACGTGGAGACCGCGCCACACTCGGTGTTAAGCTCGGCGTAGCTCGGACCACTCGTCACGACGCGGTGACGCGCGCTCGTCTCTCACGCGTATTTTGCCTCGCGAGGGAAAGCGGGGGGTGTAGACGCTCGCTTGTGCGCTTACCTTTCATTGAGGAGAATCGTAAGCCTTGAGCTTTCACTGCAACGACTGAGTTGTAGCAGCGTCTTTTGTTGCGATAGCAATTATAAGACGGTCTCGGATGGTTTTTGCCGGTGCCCCCGCTGCTGCCGTGATTCACGTGTTTGTATATCTGTGTATATACATATACAATATATACATATAGAGGAGGCTAGCACGCATCCTTCCCCGTATACATATACGGGGAAGGATGCGTGCTAGCCTCCTCTTTCTTCGGAGCGAACATCGCCTTTCTAGACGAGGTCATCTGCGCACGTGCTTATCTCTTGAGCGAACAAGGGGGGAGGGAAGGCGCGCTTATCGTTGCCGTGCTAAAGCCCATATACCTTCGGAAAAGTACAGCATTCTTTTCATATGCTCCGCTTCCTCCTCTCAACGGCTCAAAAGCAAACTGCAAGCTCGTGACACATTAGAGGGTGCGCCACTGTCACAAGCGAAAGGAAAAGAGCAACGCACCGGAGAGAAGGAGGCGAGACGAAGGGCATACGGCGGTACTTTTACGAAATTGATTGATTGATATGTGGGGTTTAACGTCCCAAAACCACTATATGATTTTGAGAGACGCCGTTGTGGAGGGCTCCGGAAATTTAGACCACCTGGGGTTCTTTAACGTGCACCCAAATCTGAGCACACGGGCCTACAACATTTCCGCCTCCATCGGAAATGCAGCCGCCACAGCCGTACTTTTACGAAATATAGGGGCTTTATGCAATGCTATGCAACGATCAGCACTCGCGTTGTGCCTCAACAGAAGGCGGGAGCTTCTGCGGGCTGCCCTCCGTACAGATGTGACAAAAAGAAAGATGTGTACAAAACTCCTACACAAGGAAAAAAAAAGATGCTGTGTACGGAACTCTATTCATATATGGAAAGAAATACGCTGGTCAGACAGGTCGTTGCCTGATTGTGTGCCTTAGTGAAAATGAGAGTTCATTGAAGGAAGTCTCGTACTCGCATTTAGCGATACACTGAAAGGGCTGCACTCGCCAATCGAAATTCGCAGACACACGAATAATTGACAGACACAAGAAGCGAACGACAAGAGGAATAAAGGAAGCGTATAGGATCAAGAAAGCAGGTGACAAGAACGTGAGTCAAGCGTCTGTTCTGGTAACGAATGCCGAACTTGTTTTTTTTTTTGGACATAACATACCCCAGTGCATTTTCGTTTCAGGTTTTCTTCTCTCAGTTTTTTTGGGGGGAGGGAGGGGCCTAACACGTGTTTTTTATGATTGTGTGTTATCAATAGTGGGAGTGGTTTCTTTCGGTATGTCACGTTGTTGGCGATAACAGTGGAGGTTTGAGATGACGTACATGCGTGTTTGCATACATAAATGTTCATTTCAAAATAAATTTTTTTGAGTTGCTAGTAAGTGCTCCTCCAGTGTCTTTTTTGAGAGTTTGTCCTTTTTGGTATTTGTTTCATTAAGAACTTATACCAACATGCCCAACTGGCAGTCATCCTATACATTGTGCATACTGTACACACGTTGTCAGTTGTTTACGTGCGCAACCGGGCAGCGTCACGGGCTATTTACGGTAAGAATGATCCCCAGCGCTTTGTCTACTCGCCATATTTACCTTCGTTGCGACGCCGTTGATTTTTAGAATTGCGGGGTGCGTAACTCTGAAATATTCGGCGAATGCGATCACTACGGCCTAATGTATAAGTAGTAAGCTCAATTAAGGGGAGAGGAAGCTAAAAACTAAGTAGAAGTCTGTTTACTGGATATGTGCACATGCGTAAGCCTAATGGACTGCCAACAAAACGAGGTATTGCTTTAGGCGTGACGTGTAGCATGGCGCTCGGAGCTGCCGGTATTGCTTGAGTAAGACTTGCTGTTGGGCGAGTTGTTTAACGCCCATAGAATACGTAGTAGCGCAAACTTGGAAAACGCAGACCAGCGAAAGGAAGTAGGAGGGAGCACCCGACCTTTCTGCTCTCTCCTTCTTTTCCCTGATACGTGTTTTCTGCACTACTAGGTGGCCTATCGGTGTTGCTTGATTGATTAATATGAGAGGTTTACCGTCCCGAAACCACGATATGATTATGAGAGACGCATTGGTGTTGCTTACCTGAAGTACTCGCTGCAGGTGGCCATGATGACCTTGTGGACTGCAAACTCTCCCCCGTCGTCTGTCTTCAGCAGACCATCACAGAGCATGTCTGTGCAGCGCGTGTTCCACAAGGCCTCTCGCACCTCGGGCAGCAGAGAGTCTTCGTCCAGGCTAAGAGCAACGTTGGCCATGCTGCCCTTGACCGGCCCCCTAAGCGCGCGTCATGCGCAACCCCGGGTGTTCTCCCGCGGGAGGGACGACACCATGTGGTCGCACAGGCAGCAGGCTGCTCGCGGCAGCTACCCTGGACGACGACGATGATGATATTTATATTCGAATGTGGCATTTAACATGATTTCAATTGGTGTGAACTAAGCTGCAAAGCCAACTAGCGGCTTGGTGAGGTGGAAGAGGAGGAGGAGGAAAGAAAGAAAGAAAAAGCAGCGAGGTTAACGTGCTTCTTGTTTTCTACCCTGCGATGGCGGCAGGGGTGAAGGAATTAAAAAAAAGAAGAAAGAGAGGTTAGGTGGAGAGCACCGTGTGGGTACATGTCATACATGGCCAATCTCTCGTGGTGGGTACGAGCCAATACATATAGAAACAAGCAAGCAAGCAAGCAAGCAAGCAAGCAAGCAAGCAAGCAAGCAAGCAAGCAAATATGTGCCCCTGCCAACTCCACTCTTATAAGCGGATACGTAGTTTGGTCGACTTTGAGATATTTATCAGTGACCCCGTCACTGCGCTGGCCTGTGACGCGTAAAGCCGTGAACGGAGGATGTCTTCTTCGGAAAAAAAATCTATTATCTAGTTTGTTTAAGGTTTCACGTTTCTGTGTTTCAATCACCGAATCATCAATGCGTGCATACTCGAACTTCTTGCTGGACTATCAATGCCATAAGGATTGCAGGCTGAAGGCAATCTTGCCTAAAACTCCAGTGTCAGCCAAGCGACTGAGGCACCAATCTACCATCTTCATGATGACTTCCATGTCTATACGAGGTTTTGATTTAGAATGGGGTAACAATGTGCGATCCCGAATACTGCATACAAGCACTTCAGAATTTTAAGCGCAGTTATAAAACATTTTCAAAGTAGTACTGTAAGCATAGTGGAATATGATTTCAGAATAAAATTAGGATTTCAAGAAACTCGGATATTTAACAAAACGCTTAAGTAAGTTCTCTCCAGAAGTTAAAATATTACCCTATAAAACATTTATTTGACCACTCCTGGAATATTGTGCTGCTATTTGGGATCCATACACACAAAGAAACATTTCAATATTAGAAAAAATACCGAGGAAATGAGTTGGGTTCATCTTTATTGAATACAGCTGGGAGGCATCAGTCATAGGTTGGTTGGTTCCTCAACACCTTGGCGCAACCCACCAAGGGGGATAGGCCATGAATGAGAGGGTGCCTTGCTTATTAAATTAATTCACTTCTTGAAAGGAAGGGTAGGATTATTTAGATAATAAAGGTGATAATATATAGGTGTTAAATTTCAAAACAAAAAACCTTGAACAGAAAACATAATAAGCATACAAAAAGCAAAAAAATAGACATAGAACAAATGAAGTTATTTATTTTTTTAGCATTGCATTCTTTTAGATTCTCGTAAGAAATTTGTAACAGCGGTAAAAACGCTCCTGTGGCTGAATCCAAATGCGGCTGCGCCAAATGAAAGAATCACCAGAACTGTCAAGTTTAAGTCCAACTTTCGTAGGGGTTACTTTAGTAGATTTTTTCTTTGAATTTTGAATTTTCGGCATGACAAAAAGAAGTGCTTCAAAGATTCCCTCTCATTACAATAAAGGCCCAAAGGCGACTGTGCCAGACCTGACATGTGAAGGTAAAAGTTCAGTGAAGGGACTCGACAACGCCGCCTGGTATTTACTATTTCTTTTTTTTCTTGATGAACCCCATTTGTTGTTCCAACGAAACTTTAGCTGTAGGTAGTATGATACAAACAAAGGAGATTTTTTGAAGTTATTGGCCGTTGTGCGTTTTTCAAAGCGTGCTGCTGTGATATATTCCGAAGTAGGCAAAATAGGTAAAAAAGGACTATCAAGGGAAGATACAGCTAGTGCATCTGCATGCTCATTCAGAGCTAAACCTCTATGGCCTGGTACCCAAACTAGTCGAACGAGTCACACACGTCTAGGAATGAGCGAGTAGAAAGTTTCTAAGGTATGCGAAAAAGTTGGTGAGCTTAAGGCAGTGCAGACCGAGAGGCAGCCTGTTAGAATGATCACCGCTGATAGATCCTTCGGTACTTTACGCTATGCTAGGACTATTGCCAGTAGCTCAGCTTGGTAAATAGGTGTAAAGTCAAGTAATCGAATTGAGAAAGCCAAATATAGAGAGGATGATACGATTCCTACGCCAGCCTTCTCTACATAGACAGAAGCGTCAGTCGCTACCACAATGAATATTTTTAGATTGGCGAAATGATCTTCCAAATGCCATTTTTATACTGATACGATAAAGTTTTCGCATTCTTGGGATATATATAATTAAATTCAATTCTAATTGCTATCTACAGTGTCGAGCAGAAGTATTTCCCAAAGGTTAATTCTTAATGGCTCCAAACGTTTTTGTGTAAATATCACTTGAGGGCACCGTAATTTAGACCATTGGTGGTTGAAAAATGAGGTCTGCTGGGTAATGAACCTTCACTGAGGTGATGCGTAGATTTTAAGGAATGTACGTACTGTTTCAAAGTGAAATCTTTTGATAAGAGAAGGCAGGCTGAATTCTTCGTATAGGATATTGTTGGCAACATATTTAGGTAGCCCCTGGCATAAGCGCAAAGATTCGCGTTGAAGCAGAACCAGTGGTCGAACTTTGGAGGCCGGAGGGCCAGAAAAACAAAACACAGCCAAATCCTAATATAGGTCGAATGTACAAGCAATATATCATAACAAGCACGTCTCTACGCAAACCGGCACGATAAATACTGAGCCTGCGCATCATCCCTACGGCACGTGATCCTTTAGCAGTCATGTTTTCTATGTGGGGACTCCAGTTAAGTGTTTCGGTGTAGGTTACCCCCAAGTACCTAACTGACTCAACCTGAGATATGGCGTGTTGTCGGTACATTAGTGAAATTCGCACTGGGGCATTTTGTGCGAAAACTATGAATGTATTTTTGTTTGTATTGATGCATAGGTTGATATCCTCCAGCCACGTTTCCAGGCTATTCATGTATGTCTGCAGAGTCAGGTACAGTGTGTGAGTGTCCGCCAACGCAGCAAAAAAATGCGATATCATCGGCATACACATAAACCTGTACATTTTGCTGTATGGGAATGGTACAGTGCATTAAATACTAAGGGCGAAAGTACTGACCCTTGCGGTATACCTCTCGTTTGCCTATATACTGAAGAGTTGACACCAGATTGCGAGCAGTAAAATTCTCTATCACCTAAGAAAGCATGGATTCAGGCCACAAAGTATTGAGGCAGTCCTATGTTCTGAAGCGAATCTAGCAGTTTCACATGCTCCACGCTATCATAGGCTTTTGGGATATCTAAGGTTAGCAAATTGGAGCATTGTTTCTGATATCGAGCAAGTTGAATTCTGCTTTCGAGATCCACGTGCGCATACCAAATGGAGTAACCGCGGCTGAATCCAATATGACATGGGCTCAGTGTCAATTTTTCCGACATCCATCGATATATACGTCTATACAAAATTCTTTCAAAGAGTTTTACTAGGTTCAATTTAAATGCAATGGGCCTGTTATTATCGAAGGTAAACCCAGCGCCTTGCTTTTTTAATAATGGAATCCTTTTTGTCATTCTCCAATCGGGTGGAATCCGAGAGCTTCTAAGTGAGTGATTATTAATTTTGAGTAGGCCAATTGGGTATATTTTTATGTACTGATTTTATCACCGACGTCTTCATTCCATCAGAACCAGAAGCAGAGTAGGGTGGTGTTCTGACTACGTTTGCTAATTCTGCAGGTGTGACCTCTTCAAAATCCTCAGCCCTAAGGGGGGACTGGGCTTGGTATGAGTGAAGTGTCGTAGAGCGACTTTTTAGGCCCTGAGCTACATCTTCTAGAAAGGCCTTCAGTTCAACTGGTGATGATACTACAGATTCTATATTTCTTATTACCGGAAGAACTTTCTTATTTCTCAGAAAGCGAAAAAGTGCTTTTCTATTGACCGGCTTCGACAGGAACTCACATCGGTTGTTGTTAAATTTGTCCTTCGCATTAGCGATGGTTCTCTTAAAAATAGCGGCCGCATACTTATAGTCACTCCAGTTCCTGGGACACTGATTGAAAATTAATTTTTCCATGCAGCTTTTCTTAGTCTATAAGCCCGCGAACAGTCTGCATTCCACCAAGGGTTGGTAGATAGTTTAGAGCTTTCAATGGTGAATTTTGATTTATTTAACGACTCTTTCAGAATGTCGTTTATTCTGATGGCGTCTAGTTCCGCATCCCTTGTTTGGTTAGATAAAGCGCCTCGTAACGATTTCTCGAATGTAATAAAGTGTACATGTGGCCGAAGATCTATTCTTGGAGGTTATTGTACATACCACCTCGAACAATATTGGCATATGGTCACTACTTGCTACCGAGTTAATCCGCCGACCATGATAGGATGCAGAGGTTAGCGTTAGAAAAAATTAGATCGAGCACCGAGGAGGACTGATTACACATAAAGGTAGGAGTTTTTGTGTTTATGCATATAAAGTTATTCGAGTTCACCCAATCCCATAAACTTTTGCCATTAAAATCAGTTTGAAAACCCCACGAAATATGATGAGAAATGAAGTCACCTGCTAATAAAATATCTTTTCGGCAATAGTGAACTGTAGTATCTAGAACTGAAGAATTTAGAACACCCGCAGGAAAATAGGCATTAATAATCGAGAACGGGAGGGACCCAGGAATAGTAATGCTTAATGCTAAATTCTCGCTCTCTGAAGTCATTGACTGACAAATAGTTTTCGCTCTATGAGCTATTTTAGATGAGATAAATATTGCCAAACATCCACACTGAGTTGAGCGGTCTAGACGAAATGTGCGGTAATTTTTAATCCCAAAATACTGATTTTCTTCAAGCCAAGCTTTTTGTAAAGCAACAATATCAGGGGAATAATTATCGCAATATTGAAGTAAGTCTGTAGTTGCTGAAAAAACGGAACACCATAGGGCTGACATGGTTTTACCCTGA